ACCATCAGGTGAACAGCTCCTGTCCTTGCTGTTAGAATTCCTTCCTCAGTCACTTTTTCTTTGTCTGCTGCAGATTTCTGAGCCTGGGATTGAGTTGTCTGTGCTTTAAGCACAGGGAAACATCTGCTAATTACCCTGGCAGAGTCATTAGCATCCTTTCAAGTGCGATCTTTTTTTATTCCAGTGAGCAGCGTTTCTGCCTGTTCCCCAAACAGTTTGTTCCCTGTGCTCACTCCCATACTGAGATCACTGTCTTGGCAGGCCTGGGAGTGTGGCTGGAAATAGCAGACGTGGTGAATGTGCAGGGGGGTGGGTGGGAGCTGCTTGAGCAGGCAGAGCATCCAAACGGGAGAAATTAACTCCTGCCCGTTTGTTTCCAGCTCAGGTGGAAATGCAGGAAGGAAGATGAGACTGGAGGGGGATACTCCAAAGATGTGCTGCTGCAGATCCTGCAAAAGGTCCTGTCTGACACTCTTCCCTATTTATTACTGGGTCTTCCCCTGATCTCAGTGCTGTAAGAATAGTGAACTCTGGGAAGCTGCATATCACAGAATCATGGAATGGTTTGGGTGGAAAGGGACCTTAAAAATTACTCAGTTCCACCCCTCGCCACAGGCAGGGACACCTGCCACTATCCCATATTGCTCAAGCCCTGTCCAGCCTGGCCTTGGACACTTCCAGGGATGGGGCAGCCACAGCTCCTCAGGGCAACCTGTGCCAGGGCCTCAGTACCTGCACAGGGAAGGATTTTATCCTAATAATCTAATCTAAACAGGTAATCTCATCTAAACAGCTGGTTTAGAGCCATTCCCTGCGTCCTGTCACTCCATTCCCTTGTAAGCTGTGAACTGGAGTTGCTCATTTCCTTCCCTGTTCAGCTTTCTCATGCAGTTTTCAGAGCTCATCAGCATGATCGTGGAGTCATTAAGGTTGGAAAAGATCTCTTAAAGCATCAAATCCACCCTTTGAACCAAGTTGGATCCTTTGATCCCTTAGCTGGGAGCTGTTTCCCAGCTAACAGCTCTGGCTGAAACGGAGCTACTGCAGACTCTTCCCACTGGATGCTTCCTGCCCACTTTGTCTGGCTCTGTGGTTGTGGTGCGCTCATCCCTCACTTCAAGCACTCCACATCCCTGCTGTGGGAAGTGCAGAGGCAGGCACAGACAAGCCTTTGATCTGATCGATCCCACCCTGGCATCTTTCTTTTTCCTCTGAGCTCAGCAGTCCTTTTGCACTGGGGCTTGCTGGGAGCCAAGTGTGTAGCTCCATGCCTTCCCAGATTAGTTCCTGGGGGGATAGAAATTACAGGATCAGTGGAAGCAGGGCTGAAATGGTGACAGCTCGAGCCTCATGTCTGTGAAAACATGTGTTTTCTCTTTGTGTTCATTTGATAACTGAACTTGACATCTCTCCTGGCTCTGTAATTAACTTTCTTCCTTTCTTTCTTCCCACAGTACGGTGATGTGCTCAATTTGTTGATCTCCAGCAGGAAGACTGGGAGTGCAGTGGTGGAATTTGCCACGGTGAAGGCAGCTGTGAGTGTGCAGAGCCCCTGCTGGGTGTGCTGGGGGTGTCACAGGACAGGTGACAGCCAGGACACTGCCCTGTCATTAAGGCAGTGGAGAAGGGTAATGAGAGTCAAAAGGCGTGGAGGGAGTGGCACAGCTGGAGGCACAAACCCAGAGATCAGGCACATAAACAGGTTGTGCATGGAACAGGCTGAGGGAAGAGGCACAGCCTCAAAAATCAGGCACTGAGCACTTACTCAGCTCTCTCTGAAGGTGAAATGCCTTGGAATTTGGCTTATGTGTTTTTGAGGTGATATCGGGCATTTGCAGCGAAAAACAACCCAGAATATCTTGACTCACTGTGAATTATAATAATTCATGTGGCTGTGGGAGCAGAAGTCATCAGTTACCCTCAATTTTAGTAGCTCCATGAGCTTGGGCTGTATGAGAGTTTCCTTGTTAGCTTTTCTTTCACTCATATCCAAATGATAAAAACCCCCAGAACTGTGTGTGACCTGTATATCAAAAGTGCTGGCAGGGGTATGGACCATAAAGGTGCTTCTCATGTAGGGCAGCTGTGAAATCTGAGAGTCATGGAATGGTTTGGGTTGGAAAGATCCTTAAAATCTTACAGAGTGGAATCATAGAATGGTTTGGGTTTGAAGGGACCTTAAAAGATCATCCATTTCAAGCCCCCAGCCATGGGCAGGGACACCATCCACTAGCCCAGGTTGCTCCAAACCCCATCCAGCCTGGCCTTGGACACTTCCAGGGACAGGTCTTGTTTGTGTCCTAATTGGCCTTGAGGGACATGATTCTTAGGGATTTGTGAGGGAAGGGAGTGGGATCTGAAATTCAGGTGATGATGGAAGGATATTTTCCCTGCCAGGAGATGGCTGTGAAGAATGAAGTTGGCCTGCTAAATAACCCCCTGAAGATTTCCTGGCTGGAGGGCCAGCCCCAGAGCCATCCCAGCACCGTCCTCCCTGACAGCACCAGCCAGCCCAGGACCTCACAGGTGAGGAGAATGGGCTGTGGGATGGAAATCTGGTGCTGTAACAACCTAAATCTCAGAGTGCTGTCAGATAGAGGCTCTTGGGGCCAGGCCAGGCTTTCTCTGCAGCCCTTTCTATACCAGATCAGTGGCTTTCTAAAGGACTTCCTGCCTGGGCAGCAGCACACTGGGAGCTATTTGGATCTTCACACATTTCCTTTCTCCCAAGTGAAGAGCAATGATGTTCTTTGCTCAGCCCAAAGCCTCCAGTGCCATTCTGATGGGATTTTTGAATATGTCTTGATTGTTGGAATCCTCTGAGTGAGAGCTGCCGAAAGGTTCCTTTAGAGAGTCTTGGTTGCTCACTGCATTCCCAGGAGGAGGATGTTTCAGTGCTGGAAGCAAACCTCTATTCTTAGGGTCTGCAGGAGGCAGGAGACAGCAATATCAAGCTAAATACCCTTTTGTGTGTTCACTCCTTAAATATTTTAAGCTTGTGAGATTGTTCAGTGCATTCACTCTCTTGATGTTTCATTAAGTATTTTATTTATATTATTTGTAATTATGCATCAGAACACCTGATTGTTATCTTGTCCATGTAGGACCAGGGAGAGTCCTGCAGCCACAGGAAATTCACTAGAGTGTTAGGAAGGGAACTGGGGCAAAAAGCAGAATCCAAAGCATTTTATTTGAGAATTTCTCACTAGCAGAGAGTGAGAACTGGCTCGTTCCTACCAAAGGGGATTGCTGGTGCAGTTGGAGCTTGGTAGTGGATTCCAGCCTCTGTGGGTTCAGATCCCTGAGTTTGTCTTGGCCTGTTTCCATGCCCAGAGCTTGTTAGTGTGGAAGTGCAGCGTCTGCCTGCAGTGCAGGATTAGTGTGGTGGGGCAGCAGGGAGAGCAGGAAAGCAGCACACAGTGCTGGTGACTCACCTCTGCCCAGCACAGCCTCCTTAATCCCACCTGGCTCTGGGAATGTTGAGGAGCTGCATCCTTCCCAGGAGCTGCACAGCTGGTGATTTGCTGCTTTTTGCTGTAAGAAGCTGCACTTTTTGGGATTTCACTGCAGCCTTGCATCTCCAAGCTGCTCTCCTTCCTGTTTTTCCTTGTTCCTACTCCAGACCCTCCCTAAATCCTCCTGCTGCATCCAATAGGATGCTTCTAAAACCTGTAATTTGTTTACAGCTCCTCTTGGCTGATCTGCTTCCAGCTGACTTAGCTTGTGCTCTCCAGTTCAAGAGTGTGCAGAGTGAGCCCCCAGATCCCTGTTCCCTCTGCCTCTTCCCTTCACACCCAGCCTGGTTTCCCAGCCACCACGTTCTTGCTTCCAGGCTGCACTTACCTCATTCTGATTTAAGCTGCCCTTGCTTCCTATTTGCTTCCCTGCTCTGTTTTTGTCTGAATCCACCCCCATTTTGTTCCCACTCTGTGCAAAAGCAGCTCCTCTGCTGCTCTCCTTCAGGAAACAGCCCAAGCCTGCAGTGTTCTCATGGCAACGTGCTCACTACTCATACTCTGCTCCCTGCCTGGGACAGGCAGCCAGGTACACCCTGCCTGGGAGAGCCAGCCAGGACCTGAGAGCCAAAATCTGCAGGTAAAGGACAGCCAGACCCCAGCCAGGGGGTTTGGAAGCAGTTCCCAGGTGGAAGCTGCTCGTCTTCCATAGCTTTGTTGTCTTCTACAGCAACAGGTGCACATTGTCCAGCAGTTCCTGGAGAGCTGCCTCAGCCAAGCAGACTCCAGTTCCCCTTGGAATTCAGAAATTGTGGCTTGGACAGTACTACCCCAGGCTATTGAGAGCAGTGGCTGTGTGATGGTTCAAAGCACACAGTGGCTGCAGAGAGCTTGTTTTGCCATTCCAACAGCATGCAGTGCTTAGTTTTGGGAAGATTTTCCCTGCTCATGCAGTGGAATCTCCCTGCCAGGGCTCCTCAGCCATTCAGCCCTGAGAAAAGACTCCTACCTGGTGTTCATGTACCTGTTCTAAGCTCCTTCAGAGGTTTCAGAGGGTTTATTTCCTATTATCTGACTTTGGGAGGTGAATATCACAGGGTAAGAGGCAGCTGTGCCTTCCCTGGAGTGTCCCTGCACTTTGCTGTGGCCACTTCCAAAGCTCCTGGTTATCTGGGGGCATGGAGGTTTTATTATTGTTAATTTTTTAAATAGCCCTAATAGTCAAAATGGTAAGAACTGGTAGTTTCTTTTAGCAGCTTGTCCTGGTGCTGCCCAAAATGTTCTCAGCCTGGCAGAACCTTTCCCACTGTCCAGCTCAGGCTGGGGAACTGTTCCTGTCTTGCCCCGAGCTGTGTGAGCTCTCCTTAAAAGAAAATCAAGTCCCAGCAGCTCTGTCCTTCCCTCAGAGCCACACAGGTGTCCCTGCCCCCATTATAAAACCCTGCAGTGCCAGGGAGGATGGACCTAGGCCACTCCAGATACCCTATGCTCCTGGTGCCTGGGATTTCTGAAGCTTGTTCCCAATGAAATGAGGCAACCAGACACTTCCAGTCACAGATACATTTATTCTTCTATGTCTGTACAGCTGGGAGCTCAGTGCATGCGTAAGGCAGCAGTGTCAGAGACATCTCTTCTCCTGCCAGGAGGATAAATCCACTGCTGGTGCTGTATCAGGAGCCTACTTGGATGCTTACCTGTTTCCAGGCTGGGAGTGCCGTCTGCACTGGAGTTAAGGGAAAAGAAACCCACAAGGAGGAAGAGAAAAAACGGAGGAACAGCTTTGAGCTTTCACATCCAAACGTGGTGGGAGGAGAAGCCCCAGTTCCCGTCTCTCAGCCCTCAAAGCCTTGGCTTTGGGGTGCAGTGCTGCTGCCTCCTTGCAGGCTGCCTGCTGTTCCACAAGTGATCCATGACAAATCCTTGTGTGTCCCTGTCCCACAGTGTCACATCCCCAAAATAAGTCCTTCCCAAAAAATGCCAGTCTTCCCTGAGGATGGGACGCACAGTCTGGAGTGGGAAATTCCCAGGGTGGAGAGTGGAAAGTTGCCCACGAGACAGCAGACAGTGCTCTCACCTGAGCACAGGGCCCGTGAGCTCTGCTCCAGAGGATTCCTTGGCAAGGACAGGGATGGTCAGTGGTGGGCGAGGCGAGAACAATGAAACAGGCCACACACAACAGGCATGCTCCAGTATCCTTCCTCCTGCTGGAATCGGAGGAACTGGCAGCAGCAGTAACTGGGATGTGATGGACAATGAGTACCTTCAAATGGCGTAATCCCTCGGGTTCTGTTTCCTGAGGGTCTGCAGCACATCCTCGAGGAGCGATAGCCCCAAATCCACTTTGAAGGACAGGAAGGGGTCAGCCAGGTCGGGAAGAGTGGTGCTGTTTGGGAGACCTGCCTCTGAGGTGCCGTGGTCCGTAGCCTGGTCCTTGTGCGTCGGAGTGGCTTTGTGGCACGGAGCAGCATCGGAAAAGGAGAGGTCGGAGTGGGAATCTGTGTGATCGATGATGTTGGGGCAGCTGGAACTGTCCAGGTACAGCCGGGGAGGCTTGGGAGGGGCTTGTGCCTTGGCCAGGTTCTGCTCGCTCTGACAGGACAGGTACTCAGACTTGTCCTTCAGATCCCTCAAGCATTCCCTTTTCTGGCCATCCGTGTCCAGAGTGTGGCTGTTCTGGTTCAGGATGATGACTTGGTTGCCCAGCTTTTTGTGCCTCCTGAGGGAGAAGCGTCGGAAGAAGGTGGTGGACTTGATAGACCCCCTGCGCCAAGTATCCATGGTGAGGAGAGGCGGCGAGGAGCAGGAGTGCTGACTCCTCACAGGCGGGAGCCGAGGGATCAGCAGAGAGCCACGCAACAGGATCAACCTCTTCCTGCCCCACTCCTGGAGCTGCACAGAACACACAGAGGCTGGTAGTGCAGGAAATGCAAACTTCACGCCGTGGCAAGGAGCACTTGGCTTGTCTTGGATCTCTAGGAGTCTCCCCCTGGAGTGGAGAGGAGCGGCGGTGTGTGAGCGAGCTTGTTAAACGTGTGCTGCGTCTCCAGGCTGGTGGGGAACAGCAGAGGCACAGTCACCATGAGAACAGATCTAATCTGGCATCTAGAACAGAAGGGCACTCGGGTGCCATGGTAACCAGGCACCTTCTGCGGAGGGGCACCGCCGGAAAAGCGCCGTGGGTGGCTGGGAACGAGACGGTGACTCAGTCCCACCGAAGGAACCCAGGGAATACAGGAGAAGGGGGATGTAGAAAGCGACAATGCAGGAGACAACGTTGGGAGAACGGAGTGCAGGAGAGACTTACACACTGTTGGAGCAGCCCGGAATCCAGGAGCGGAGAGGAGAAGCTGCTGGAGCACTTGGAGACCAGGATGAAGAAGCAAGTCCAGGGAGAGCTCAGCCAGGAGTCCAGGAATTCAGCCAGGTTGAACCCAGAATGCCAAAACTCCCAGCGCTGCTGCTGCCGTCCCTTCATGTGCCACCCGTCACTACTTCCCGGGCTGCGGCTCCCTGCGTGGATGTGTTTGTTTTGAGCCAAGCCCTTGCTGAGTCAGCCACGTCAGGAACTGGGTTTCACTCCATTGGTAATTGCCAGGATTGCAGGAAGTAGGTGTGTGGAGTGGCAGAGCCTCAGCCCACGCTCAGGCACTCGGGAGCACGTGCTGGGAGCCCACCTGGATCAGGCTGTTCTCCCTCCCGCTGCTCTGAGAGCTCCTTGTGTCAGCAGAGCTCCCAAAACAGGCTGCAAATAATCTCCTGGCTGTTTTAATTTCAGTCCCAGTGTGAGGTGGGGCTTCAGGTTTGTGTGGGTGATTCATCTGCATAAATCTCAGGCAGCCTCTTCCATCCAGCCCAGCAAATTCCTGGGGTTGGTGGATGGGACCTGGAAGGATCCTGGCTGAGGGCTGATACCATCGGTGCTTTCTCAGACACTGCTGCTGCCAGTACCCAAAGGTCATTTTGCTCAGTTGGCTCCTAAGACACCAATTAGACTCTTAATTTCCCTCTTGATGTTCCTTATCTGTTGTGGGCTTTCATTGTGTCCTTGCAGCCGGAGGAACCACTTTGCTGGCACAGGATAAGGAATTGCACTGTGTTTCCATGCAGAGACTTACTTAGGCATTCTATTGCCTTTGTATCCCTCCTGCTTCCTAAAAAATCCTGCAATATCTGGAGAAGCTGTGGCTGCCCCATCTCTGGAAGTGTTCAAAACCAGGCTGGAACAGCCGGGGCTAGTGGAAAGTGCCCCTGCCCATGGCACGAGGTTGGAACCAAATGATGTTTGAGATCCCTTCCCACCCAAACCATTATGGGATTCCGTGATTCTCTGTGATCACCACTTCCTAGAAAAAGGAATAGGGAGGGGTTTTTTTTTTTTCCATTCACCTTCTGTCAAGAAACTCTTATTTCCACCTGAACTGTCAAGGAACGAGCTGGATGTTTCCAAGCCTTGCAGTGCTTTCATACATCCAAAATAGCATGGCCACCTACTAGTGTGGAATGGCTTTGGAAGCAGCGCCAAAGCACTGGAGCAGCTGTCATCTGCTGCCCACGTTCATTAGGCAGAGTCTGCAATCAACTGCCTTGACATGACAGTTGCTGCCACACGCAGCAGGGAGGCTCTGGGAGCTTTGGAAAGCTGTTCCGTTCCTATGTCAGGTTTGGGAACATCCCTGGTGGTTTTCTTTCTGCAGCTGCTTAGAATCAGGGAATTCTTTGTGGTGGAAAAGACCTCCAGGGTCATTGATTGCAGCTGTTAGAGTCATGGATTGGTTGGGGTGGGAAGGGACCTTAAAGTCCGTCCCAGGGCAGAGACACCTTCCACTTATCCCAAGCTGTTCCAAGTCCTGTCCAGCCTGGCCTGGAACACTGCCAGGGATCCAGGGGCAGCCACAGCTTCTTGGGGCAGCCTGTGCCAAGGTCTCAGCACTGTCAGACAGTCGGAAGTTAGTCACTTCCATGACTCATCCACAAAGGTTTGATTTTTTTATGGCATTAGCCTTTGTAACAGGTGAAGTGTATGCTGGACTTTGGGCACCAGCGTTGTAGGTGCAGGGTGATCTTGTCATCCAAAATAATGCCCCAACCAGTCTCATGGAATGCTGGCTCCATGTCCCCATTTTTCTCATCAACCACACTTATTGCTGGTTATTTTTAGTAATCATTTCAATAACATCTCCTGGTTATTTCCTGTAGCCAGGCAGCTTTCACCCACCTCACTCAGTTTCTGTGGGATCAAACAGTTTCCTGCCCAGAATGCTGGTGTTGTGAGGGGGATTTGGGGAAGTCTGGGAGTCTGTGCTGCCCCTGACGGGTTGTGTGTGTTTCCTGCTCCTTCCCAGGCCTCGGTGGTGTCGGAACGGGACTACGAGAGCCTGGTGATGATGAGGATGCGCCAGGCGGCCGAGAGGCAGCAGCTCATCGAGCAGCTCCAGCGGGAAGACGAAGAGGAAAAGTCCCACACTTAACATGAGAGTATGGATTCTTCCCATCCCTCTGTCCCCTCAGAGCTGTTTCTTAATTTAAGTTAATAAACCTCTTTTTTTCTAAAGGTATTGTGAGAATAGAAACTCCCAAGGACTGCAGCCCTTAACCCTTTCCAGGTTTGGGGAAGGAATGGCTGCCTGAGGTTCACAGAGTGCAGGTGTTACCCTGTCAGTGTGTGTGCCCGGAGCAGCTGCCCCATCCCATGGGACAAGGTGTGAGAGGTGCCATCAGAACACCAGATCTTGGAGCTTTTAATTCCTGAAAGCTCATTCAGGAGCCGTGCATCCAGAGGGATTTGGCAACAGCTTTTAATGACCCACAGAAGGACATTGGTCTCTTTGGAGCAATATTTTATTGGTGTTATCCCCACAGCAGAATCCGTGCACAGTCCCAAATATTCCAGCAGTGTTAGGATTAGAGCCCACACCTGGAATAGTCACACAACAACACTTTCTGTGTTATTTTGGGAATCCTGTGTTAGGCTTGGATGGCAGTCTGGGATCTGGAAGTTTGGTGATGCTGCTGAGATGGAAATGGGCCTTGCTGCCAAGGGAAGGGATTCTCAGAGCCCTGGGAGTAGGTTTAGTGGTTCCCTCTTGGATTTCAGGAATGAGATGGGATGGTGTCCATGCTTGCTGTCCCTCACTAACCCCCTGGCCCAGGAGAAGGCCCAGAGCTCTCCAGGGCAGCCTGAGGAGAGGCAAACAGGGCTGTTACTGAGCTTCCTCCAGGGCATGCTGAACACATGATTAAAATGTAAAAAACTGGAATTTGCCAGACTGCCATCCCAGGCAGAGCTGGAGCCATCTGTTCCCTCTGCCTGATTCTGGGCATATCTTCCTCCCCCTGCTCTTGGAAACACAACAGGGATGGCAGAATTCTACTGGGTCCAGCTCTGCCTCTGCGCCGTTTCTCCCCCTGCCCGAGTGCCTGGAGCCTGGGACAGGAAGGAATTAAGGGGGGAAAATTTGCTGCCAGTCCTATAAGATGATCTCCAGCAGGATGTTGTCTGGGTGGAAGGCAGGATTCTCCCTGGCTATTCCCTGTGGAGGCACCAGACCAGGGTCTGGCCCACGCCAGTCATGCTGACCACGCGGTAGCCGAGGCTCTCCAGCTTGTCCAGGACCATGCGTGGAGCGTCGTTCACGTAGTACTCACAGCTGCACCCAGGAAAGATGGGAATAAGGTGAGCTGGGGCAGGAGGAGATGGGCATTTGCTGGTGGAAGTGAGCCTGCCTCGCTCCTGATCCCTCTAAGAGCAGCGGCCACACCTGGCACGGGCGTGTGTGACACAGGGCCTTGGTTAACCCCGGGGGAAGGCACAGCCTGAGGTGCCAAACCACAGGAATCCTGTCCAGGAGGGAGGGATCAGGTTGAATGGGAATATGGCTCAGGGGCTGGTGTCCAGAGCCCCATGCTGCTGGGTAACTGGGCTGACACTGCAGCAGAGGGTTCACAGGTAAACACAGTGAGCACGTTTTTAGCCTACCTGGGAATTCATGGAGGAGGAGAGGAATGAGCCAGGTGTTTCTAAGGAATGAAATCCCAGTGTTCTACCCGTGTCAGAGTATGTCTGTGAGATAGGTGGGTTTGAGAGACTGTTAGAATTTGGGGAGTGAAACAAAGTGATGTTTTCAGACAGGTGGGAAACCTTTGGAAAGCCAGTAGTCATCCATCCTGCATGGAGCTGCCAGGCGAGGTGGAGCCCAGGCTCCTCTGTTCCAGCAGTGCCTGGAAGCTGGTACTGGGATCCTTGTCCAGCTCTGATTCCCCATTGGTTTGTGCTGGCTCTATCCATGGATAGCTGTCCCACATTCCTACCCCTCAATCCCAGAAGCTCCAGGCCTGTGACACTGCTTCCAGTGAAGGGACCAGGCACAGACTGGGCTGAATTGGCTGAGGACAGCCAAGCTGAGCTGGCCAGTGGGATCTTTGGATGTGCCAGCCTCTCCTTTGACATGACTTTGGGGACAAGGCCCAGAGCAGCTAAGCTGTAGCTGACTCGCAGTGCTGGATAAGTAGATAATGATGGGCTGCAGGATCACTGGGGATCCTGTTTGGGCACCTGAACCTGAACAAAGCTTCTGCTTTTCCTGCTAATAATGATAAAAAAATCCAAAAGCCTTTCCAAAGCTTCTCCTGCTTGGATTTCAGACCCATGCTGGAGCTGGGAGTGCTTTAAAGCACAAAATAACCTGAGATGTGAAAGATTTTCCAGTTTCTCAAGACTGTACTTGGCTGTAATTATAGATGTGGTGTAAAGATAATGTGCATTATTATAAGTGTCTTTGAAGTCTGTTCCTTCTCCAGGAGGGTTGCCACATACCCTTCAGATTCGCAGTGGGAGCTGGTAAATATTATTCCCACTATTCAGTGGTAGTTGCAGAGGCAGGGATTTGTAGAAACCTAAAAAACGGAGTAGCTGAGCTAAAAGCAGGAGGCAAGAGTTCCCAGGGCTTTATCCCAGCTGTGTGTTGAGGGAAATGAAGATTGCACACTGTGGGTATCAGATCTGCTGCCGTCTCCCTGTGCATCCAGTTGGGATGGAGGGGCTGGGATACCTGCAAAGCCTTTTCTTCCAGGTAAACCCCACCCCTTGCCCCACCTGGCTGCCCCAAGGGCTCTGACCCCGAGTGAGAGGGCAGGGACCACATCCCTGCTCCCCACACCTTGTGGGACTTAATGAGGGGACGTGTGTCTGTGCAGAGCTGTGGAACAGGATCCTGTGCTCCCTCATTACAGGGATTTCAGCTTCACCTCTACATCCCAGCTTCCCAGCAGGTCTGTGCTGCTTGGGCTTTTCCTTCAGCCTCCCTACAAAGTTATGGCTAAAGTTCTGGGGCCCAAGGTGCTAGAGGAAGGGGGTGTGCAGCATCCATAGCCAGGCTCTGCTCATGAAGGAATTGGGAATGGAGAATCCTGCTCGGCCACGGTGCAGAACCTGGAGCTCCCAGGCCCGGTTGGGGTTCTGGAGGAGGCGGTCAGGCTCGTGGCTGTGGCTGTGCTCCGGGGGGTGCCAGCAGCCACATTCCAGCCAGGGGACTTGCCCCACTGCTCAGGCACACGCGGGAGGACGTGCTGTGCCGCGGGGATGTGCCGCAGGGACACAGCGGAGTTCCCAGCTGTGACACAGGCTGAGGAGCAGGTGGGGCGAGAGGAGCTCAAAACGCTCCGGGACACGGGGAGAGGAGAAAGGTGGTGAATCCACCAGGGGGATCCCATAGGAAGCTCGTATCCTTTCCCCAAAACAAGCACAATGTGTGCTTCTCTTCCTTCCAGTGCTGCGGCTCCCCCAGCTGCTGGGGCAGGCACCACAGAGGTTTTATCCGTCTTTGCCTTTCTTTTCCACCTGAATCCCAGGGATCCTCGACCGAATCTCTCAGGATCCAGTTCCTTCTTGGAGCCTGTTGTGTTTCTCTCTGTCTCCCATCCCGTTGCGTAACTCCGGGCTCCGCACGGCGGGTGGCAGCACGACTCCGGCTCTGCTGCCAATCTCTGCCCCACCCACGGGCTTGGGAAGAGCGGCACGGAGAGGGATCAGCCCGGCAAACCCCCCAGGAATGCAGCTGGGGTGGGGGGGCCTTCTATACTTATATTTTATCTCCTTACTATTGACATTTCCCACCCCACTCAGATTTTTAATGCTGCAGCAGCCAAGGGTCCAGCTCTTGGTGTTGGCCAGGCTGGTGCTGAGTGGGAGGGTTTTCCCAGCTCCATGGATGGAAGCTTGGGAACATTTGGGATTAGATGCACCTTCTATTTTAATGCCTCATCCTTCTCCTCCTCCTCCTTTTCCTCCTTCTCCAACTCCACACCATGGCATATGGGACATGGCAGGAATTGAGCTGCTCCTCTCTGTCAAGTTTTTTTGCATTTGGGGGTTTGTTTTGCTCTGCCATTGTGGTTTTGTTTTTGGTTTGTTTTTTTTTTTTTTTTTTTCCCAGGGAAAACCAGGAAGTGCAATATCAAGAGAGGAAAAAAAAAAGGAAAAAAAAAAAATGGGCCAAACCATGAGGAAGATGCTGGTCACCTCTCTGAGTGGCATTTGGCCAAAGGCTGGGGTCAAACTCAGCATGGTCAGAGGGGGAACACGGAGAAATTTCAAATATCCATGGCTTGGAAACATGCCAGTGGAGGAGTTGGAGTCAGGGGTGGCACAGTGGGAAGCAGCTCTAACCCCAGGGCTCAGCTGCCCATGGAAAAGATTTGAGAGCTATTGGGAAGGGCTGGCTCAGGTGAAGCCTCGAGCTGCAGTGGAGGGCAGGATGGGATGGACAGACAGGCTGCAGCTCGGAGGGATGGGATGGAAAGAACTGGGTGAGCACTCGGTTTCCCAGCACCAAGAAAGGCACAGGCAGAGCAAGGCAGGGATTGCACTAAGAGAGGGAAAGAGGGGTCAGGTGCTAAAACAGGGTCAGAGCAAGGGAAAATAAAGAATCAAGTGAAGTATCAGGCAGGGAAGGTGCTGTGGGGAATTCCAGGAGTGAAAATGTTCTGCATTCCTTGGGAAAACAACGAGAGAAGGACTTACAAGTTGTTCCCCAGCGTGGTCCTCTTTGTGGCCCCCAGGATACTCATCAGGTGGGGATCCGAGTGCTCATCGCCCACCATGGTGGGCCCAGCCTCCTGCGGGAAGGCACAGAGTGGTGAGTGACACGTGGTGACATGGCCCCTGTTCCCTGCACAGCTCCAGTGAGAGCCCTTAAGGAAGGGAATTGCCATCAGCCCACCCTGGGAGGAGGGGCCCTCAGTCCTGGCCAGTGCCAGGAAGGTGCAGCTGCTCACCCGGGAGGGTTCCAGCCTCAGCTCAATGCCAAGTTTCACGTTGGAAGTGTTTGCTTTGCCCCTTTGGGAAAGAGCAGAGCATCCTAAGTCTCTGAAGGGCAGACTGAGCCCTGCTGCTCCAGGCTGTTCCCTCCAGGGCCATAATCCATGTGTCCCTTCCTGTACCTCATCCACAATCACTCAATCAGCTTGTATGATCCCAAATGCCACTGCCAGCAGGTGCTTTGGTGCTGCAGCATCCCCACACATCCCCATTCCCAATCCACTGCTGCTTCCTTTGGGACATCTCCAGTGGCAGTAGCAGCAGTGTCCATCACAACTCCCTCCCTTTGCTCATTTGCTGTTTTCACTGTCCCTATTTCCTGCCCCAAACCACAGCAGCAGATCCAGGCTTCTGGATTTCGGGAAAAGGGAAAACTCAGATAAACACACACACAGCTGTGAGTTCCTAGAGTCCTGCAGGATGTGGGTGCTGCCAGTGCTGGGGAGTAACATTTGCTCTGTGGCTTTGTCTGGTAGGAACAGCCAGCAATGCCACCGGTGCTCCTGGACACTGATCCCAGCCAGAGATCCCAACCACTGTCCGGCTCCTGTCTACCCCAGCCGTGCCCACTGCCTTGGCCACCTTTTCCACCCTGGAATGGCTGTTTGGGGACGAGGGGAAACCAGCTAAGAGGACAAGCGGACAAGAACCCTTTGGCGTTTTGGATCTTGCTGCAAGTTTCCCAAGTGAGTCGCTGTTTGGGACAGGAGCCTTTGGGGGCAGCAGAGACGGGGTGGGGGTACCGGGGCTCTCACAGGCCGCTGGAGCACAGCCTGGCCGTGCTGGGGTCCCCCAAGCCTGCATCACCCCCGACCCCCCAGCAGCAGCAGGGCCAGCCCGTGCCGGCATCGCACCGGGGCACCGCGGGCTGAGCGGGTCTCACGGCTCGCCCCGGTCGGTCCCTGCCCGCCCCCCGAAATTCCCCACCCTCGGGGGTCCCGCCGGGACTCACCAGGCGGATTTGGGTGCTAATGAGCAGGTACGGCATCTCCGCTCCGCCGCTCCCGCCGCCGCTCCTGGGGGACCGTGCCCGGGGCCGCCCCCGGTCCCGCCCCGCCACCACCGCCCCCGGCAGCGGCGGGGAAAAGGCTCCCGGGGGGCTCCGACGGATCCCTCGGGATCTCGGTGCTGCCGTCCCACCAAGGGATGGGCAGGAGGGGACAGAAAGTGATGAGCAGGGAGAGGATGGGCCAGGAGATGATGAGGAGGGAGAGGATGGACCAGGAGATGAGATGCAGGGACGTGGAGGACAGGGAGATGTAGGACAGGGAGCTGATGAGCGGGGAGGCAATGAACAAGGAGATGATGGATAAGGGAGACGAAGAAAACGGAAATTAATAGCAGGGAGATAAAGGAGCAGGAAATAACAGCAGGGAGGTGAGGACTGGGAGATGGTGGAGCCAGGCAGGTGGGCCCTGCAGAGCATTCCCAGTCCCACCCTGCAGTCTGACCAAACATTCCCCTGAAGCAGAATGTTCAGCATTACCAATATTTTTTGGGAAAAAACTGTTTTTCTACTGGCTGTTGGGTTATTATCTGAGAACATGGGGGATTTAAATCCCTTCATAATTGGAGAAGTTCCATTTCCTGAGACGGGGACAGGCGGAGGTGCTGCATATCCATTATTATTGATGTGTTATTAATTATTAATTGTTGTTGTTGTTATAATTATTGCTTTTGTTGTTATTGTTGACATTGGGTTTGGTGAGATACAAGAAACCCCAGAGGCTGATGGTCTCCTCTTCCTAAAGCATGTCCCACAAATCCCAGTATGTTCATTAGGAGTTCCCTGTGGGATACCTCCCCCCACGGGTTAAACATCAGCTTGTTTTGATCATTCCTATCCTCAACAGAGCCTCCTCCCCAAGTCCTGAACAGCTGGAATGTTTGCTCATTGCTCTCCTGTCCAGTGCAAACCTGTTGCCCAATGAAGCAAGGGCACATTTCACCCAGCTGGGCTGGATTTGGACAGAATTCCCATCATCCATTACCCCTTTGGACCTCTGCTGGGCACGTGTGGTCTGTGGTCACGCAGGGAATTATATGGATATGAAACCCAGACCTTTCCAGAAATTAAAGGAAAACTAGCCAGGGTTCTGGCAGCCTGCCCAGCTCTGGGTCTGACTCTGATGTGGCTCTTTCCTGGGGAAAAAAGATAGGAAGGAAAAAAGAGGGAAACGAGAGCAGAGCTATATGTAACATTTTAATATTGAATTTATTGAGGAGATACCGCAATCTGGGAGGCAGGCAGATCTCATCCATCATCCCAAAGCAGCTTATCACCCTCTGGCTCCGAGCTGGCTGCTCCCAGCTCTCCTTACACTGGGCTGGTTCGGAATTGTTCCCAATAATCCAGATAAAGGGAAGCAGAAGGTTATTTGGCTCTGCCCAAATCCTGCTGTCACCCAAACCCCCAGGAGCGGAGAGCACACAGAGGGCTTGGTTTTCCCTTTCCTGACTGGCACCTTTCCCTAAGGAATCCTTTGGCTCTTCCAGAAAAAACTATTTCTAGTTTCAATGATCCTGGGGTAAAGATTCCCGGGGGATCCCACCAGGAATGGAACCACCTACCACATTTCCTGCAGAAGGGAGAATTCCAACCCCAAATGCTTGGGATGATTGTTTGGTCACTCCTGTCTCCTTGGCCTAAAATCCATTACTTCATCCCCAAACCCCACAGCCAGCCCCGTGCTCAGCTCCCTTGGGCACCCCAAATCCCCATTTTTTGGGGGGCACGTTTGTCCCTCATTGCTGGGAGCTGAACACCAAATGGAGCGTCGGGGTGTGCGGGGACATCCAGCCTGTCCCCTGCCATCCCAGCCGGGCCGAGGTGTTGTCACCACGGCGGGACAGCTGCCGAGGCGGCAGCAGGTGACAGCCGGCGGCCTTGGGGGGCTTTCCCCGGGGCACTGAGGGCGCGGGGGGCGGCGGTGTCACCCCCGAGGGTGGCGCGGGGTCCGTGTCCCCTCCGCGTCCAGATGCCACCAAAAGGGGCGTGGCCTCGCTGACCAGCGGCATGACGTCACGAGGCCACGCCTACCACTCCATATTGTCGCCTCTCCGTGACGCCATCGCTCCGCGCCCGCAGCGGCCATGGCGGCGGCGGGGCCGGGCCGGGCCGGGCCCCGGTTCGGGATGGCGCTGGGGCTGGCGGCGGGCGCCGGCCTCGTCCTCGGCGTGCTCTGGGTCATGCGCCGCCGCTCCAGGGAGGCGGCGGGGCGGCCGCGCCGCGGTTCGGGCGGGATGGAGCGGCGGGGTAAGCCGGGACGGCATGCGGGGAATGGGGTTGGAATAGAGAGGAATGGGGAAAATGGGATAGGGAGGCACGGAGCTGGAATGGAGGAAAAGGAATGGGGTGGGAAGAGGAAAAGTGGGGGAAAAGGGGATTAGAGTAGGAAGAATGGGGTTGAAGCGGCGGCAGTGGGGTTGTAATGCAGGACATGCGGTTGGAAAAGGAAGAATGGAGCTGGAGTAGGATTGGATACGGGGAATGGGATGGAATGAGGAAGTGGGGTTGGAATAGGGGGCAATAGGGCTGGGGTAGGGGGAAGTGAGGTTTGGAGTGTTGGGCTTTTAGAAAGTGCTTTATTCGGAGCCCTCAGCGTGCTGGGTTTCATCCAGGTCTGTGCAAAACTTTGGGAACAGAAAATGAAACTGTGCTTTTCACAGTGATCATAGAACAATGGAATCCTGGAATGGTTTGGGTGAGAAGAAACCTTAAAACTCATCCAGTCCTACCCCCGGCCTTGGACAAGGACACCATCCACTATCCCAGGTTGCTCCAAGCCCTGTCCATCGTGGCCTTGAACAGTGCCAGGAATGGGGCAGCCACAGCTTCTCTGGGCAAGCTGTGCCAGGCACTGAACACCCCCACAGGGAAAGATGCCTTCCAATATCCCATCTAAATCTCCCCTTTTCCAGTTTGGAGTTTTTCCCCTTTGTCCTGTCACTCCAGGCCCTTGTAAAGTATTTTTTCCATTTCTCCTTCAGGCTCCTTCAAGGGGCAGTTGAGTCACTGCAGATCCTTGGCTTTTCCAGGCTGAACAATCCCAACTCTCCCAGCCTTTCCCTGCCAACAGAGCCGTGGTGACATTTCCCTCCCCCTGGAATCTGGGGGGGATTCTAAGGGCCTCCTTGTGCTCTGCTGCAGGTCAGGCTGTGCCCAGGGCGCTGCTCCTGGCGGGCACCAGCGATGGAGCCGTGCCCAGCCCCCTGCTGAGGCAGGAGGAGCAGCTGGAGCTGCTGGAGCGCCTGGACTTCGTGGTGAGGAACGTGGCGGAGCTGAGGAAGGAGGTGGAGGCGGTGCGGAGCAGCCTGCAGGAGCTGGCCATGGAGATCGTGGGGGAAGTCAGGTGCTGCCCCTCTCTCCCGGGCCTGCAGCAGCCCCTGCCTGCACGGGAAAACAGCCACGGCTTCCTGGGATCCTCCTGGGCTGGGAGGGACCTCAGAGCCACCCACGGCCAGGGACACCTTCCACCAGCCCAGGTTGCTCCAAGCCCTGTCCTGGAACTCTCCCAAGGGATGGGGCAGCCACAGCTTCCCTGGGAAATCCATTGCAGTGCTGCACCAGCCTCACAGGGAAAGATCCATTCCCTGTATCCAACCTAAATTTCCCCTCTTCCACTCTGAACCCACTCTGTCACTCCAGTTCCTGGTGCAGAGGCTGGATGAACATCACACCTGTGGATCCTGTATGGATTGTCCATGGAAGAGGATCTGCTTTACCTGCAGATATATTATATTAGATACAATCTATTATATAATATCTTTTATATAATCATATATATAATACCTATTATATAATAATATAATATATAATTATATATTTATACAACATACATTATAATATAATATGATAATACCATCATAATGCATTAACACATAGTACATTATAATACATTATGTAATATGAAATATATAAGTGTATATATAACACATATATAATTAGATATATTATTTATTATGCAGAATACAAAGTTAGCGCCATTTAAGTTTGTACAAACACCTCATGAATTCTTTGTCTAGAATGGGAATTGGGTGGAATCGGCTGGAGAGGAGAAGGGGAATAACAGACATTTCACTACCAAACATTTATTTCTCTTCCTTTTTCTTTCCCTCCAGGACCCACCTGGAAGAAACCCAGCGTGTGACTCGCCGGAGGAAGTTCCCCTTCTCCAGGGAAAGAAGTGACTCCACAGCCTCCAGCTCCATTTATTTCACAGCCAGCTCAGGGAATCTCAACACAGACGATGGAGAGAGTGAAGGGGGGTAAGCAGAGCACTGGGACAGATGTTTTAGGGGATTTGGTGCCACATCTGGGCAGTTTGGAACGTAAAGAAGGGAATTTTCTTCCCCTACAGCCTGTTTTAATTTGCTTTTGTTCCAGTAAGGGTTTTACTGCCAGGGCCAGACTGAGAGATCTGAAATGATACTGACTCTTAGATAAAGGAAAAAAAAAATTTTTGAGGGATTTTAAAGAAATAATTTGGTTAAGGAACCTTGCACAAGGAAGGGAAGTACAAGTCCAGCCTGGCAATGGAGTAAGAGAGTATGGAAATCAAATTTCCAGGCAATATATATTATATTAAAATGATTAAATCACCAAATATCCTGAGGTGGAAGGGACCCAGGAGGATCATCCAAGTCCCAGCTCCTGGCCCTGCACATGGCAGAAAAGTTCTGTGTGATGTAAGAACATAGTTTAAAATGCCAGTATAGCTGCAGGTTTATTGCTGTTAGACAGGTAACAAGTCCTCCTGCCCCTGTGACTTCTGATTTTCTGAGGAAATGCTGCTCCTTTGTGCCTGAATCTGACCACTTCTGTAGCCCTTGGAGTATGGAAGTGTGTCCCAAAACAGCTGGTGCTGCTATGTACATTTTGCCAGAGCAGTTGGGATGAAATGTCATTTAAAGAGGGATTGTAGAGCAGTGGGAGCATTTCAGGGGGAATTTGGGCAGCCAGATGACCTGGGGGCTGGTGCCAGCTGCCATTTCAGCAGGGATTTGTCCTGCCAGGACAAAGGACAGGGATTCTGGACTGCCATAAGCTCCTGTTTGTCTTTAATAACTAGAGCTGGTGAGGGTGATCTCATTGGGGTTGTAGAGCTTCATTCAGCTCAAGTGGGTGTTGGGATGAGAGGGAAGTGAGGAAGGGAGTGATTCATGGTGGTGTAATAGGTAACGAGGCTGCAGAACATTTTAGAGCTGTGGAGTTGGTTCTGAAGGCAGGACTTGGATATTTGGATAACAGCAGATGCACTGAGTCACCAGGGGACAAGGGGTTGTGTAGAACTGCTGGAAAAAGGGGTTTTGGCCACACACCCCAGCCCTGGCTGTCAGAAAACTGTCAGTTCAGATCACAGAAAATTGTGAGTTGTGACAGAGGCCAAGAATTCAGGGTTGCAGAAAAGGCACCTCCTCAGGGGAGAGGGGTGTATTTTACTGCAAAACCTCATTAATTTATTGGGACTTCAGTGGTGGCTGGTGGAGTCCTTACCTTTTAATTAACATCTGTAATTAGCTGTAATGACCACTGTGGGGATTGGTGGATTAGCAGCTGTCACCTGATTTAAAAC